AGCGGGGAGTTATTGACCCTGATCACGATAAATCAAGATCTAGGATTGCTGCTATTCAATCAAGGAGAGTGTCTAGAAACCAGGGAATCCACTGGGGTGTTTCTGTGCCCTGCAATCATATTAAATGGGAAATCTCAGTAACCATGGCCCACAGGTGTTAAAAATAAAAATAGACAAAGGCTCAGACCTCAGAGGGATGAAGATCTGGGTCATTGACCAGGTAAGCAACTTAGACCTGCTTCGACACTGCCCAAGCATGAACGGACTCTAAAATGGGTTACAGAGGAGTGTGAGGACAAACATCACGACCAATCGCAAAGTGAGGACTGGAGCTTCTGCCCATAACCCTGCTGTTGTATACCTTTCCTAGGATTGCAGCAATTTTGCTGATAAACTGATAAGATCTTTATCAAAAACTTATGGCAAGCATCACATTTAATGGTAACACTTTAGAAATATTCCTTTTAAATTCATTTTCAAAGCAAGGATCCCTGCTATTGAGACAGCTAATTAAGACCTGCAGACATTCTAGCCAATATATTAAATCAAGAAAAATATTGAGAGGAATAAGAATTGAAAAGGAAGACCTAAAATTGTCCTTTATTGTTCATGATATGATTGTCAATATAGAAAATCCAAGAAACTCTGTGAATAAATTACTAGAACTGATAAAAAGATTGGCCAAATTGTGAAATACAAGATCTGCATTCTAAAATCAATAACATTCCTTTATACCCACAATATTGGATTAGGAAATAAAATTTGAAGAAGATTTCATTCGCAATAAAGTATTTAAAGATATAAGGGAAAAATTACAAAAACATTATGGGGAAATTTAAAATACATGAATAAACAAAGAGATAAACCATGTTCAAGAATCAATTAATTCTTGAGTTAAATGCAATTCCAACGAAAATATCAACAAAATTGTTCAAGAAATTTGATAAGTTGATTCTATAATTTATATGGAAGAGTAAAAAGCCCAGAATAGCACAGACAATTTTGCACAACAGGATAGGAGAATCAACGCTGACAAATATCAAGGCTGCTGATAAACCGATAATAACTAAGACTGTGTGATACTGGTAAGAGGATTAGCAAAGTGTATAGAATAAAGGACTCAGAAATAGACCCATGCCTGTATATATGGGCGAAGTGGAACTGCAAATAACTGGGAAAATATATGGATGAATAATTCAATAAATACACTGGGATAACTGGTTATCCATGTGGGAAAAATAAATTTGGATGTCAATACCACATCATAAACAAAAATTAATCCCAGGTATATCAAAGACTTGTATACGAAAGAACAAAACTTGAAATTTTTAGAAGAAAATATAGAATTCTTATGACCTTTTTGCTAGGAAAAGATTCCTGCAAAAAAATCACACTTACACACACACACACAAAGAAATTACATTTAGGGGCCAGCCCGGTGGCACAGCAAAGTTCGCACGTTCTGCTTCTCGGCGGCCCGGGGTTCGCTGGTTTGGATCCCAGGTGCAGACATGGCACTGCTTGGCAAAAGCCAAGCTGTGGTAGGCATTCCACGTATAAAGTAGAGAAAGATGGGCATGGATGTTAGCTCAGGGTCAGTCTTCCTCGGCAAAAAAGAGGAGGATTGGCAGTAGTTAGCTCAGGGCTAATCTACCGCAAAAAAAAAAAAAATTACATTTAAAAAAAAGACCAGCACAATGTTCTGCCTATAATATAGACATCTTTCAGTATTTGCTTATTATTATTAATTACACACATCTTCACATCATCTGTGCCACTTTGTTCTAAATAAATTGAGATATTTAATAGTAGGCTCAAGAGTTTTCAGGGCAGCAGTTGAGGGGAAAATGTGATCCTGGGTAAGTTAGAGAAAACTTTATGTAGGAACTGGAATTCTTCATGGCACAGAAAACAAGCCATAGGTGAGATAAATTATAAGCCAGGGCAAGGTGTGTGTCTCGCCAATGATCAGAGGAGACTCAACAGTTACAGACATCTCAGTAATTAATGTTTTATTCTGAACTTCAGTTAATTGTTCTCTCCAGAGTATCAATAACACAGCAGCCTAAATCACTTCATATGTCTTCCCTTTTGAAAGTATTTGCCAGGTGAGTGTGAATAGAACAGAGAGAAAACTTCCTTTCTGGTAACATATGAAACTTCTTGAGTTCTAGAGTATGAAACAGTAAGCCCCTGAGAATGGTATTTTCAGTGTCGGATCTCATGACAAGGCACTGGCTTCTATAAGGATCATCAGTCTCACAAATTTAAATTGATCGAAGTAATACAAATACTTGGCAAAGATGTAAATCTGAAAGAGAGAAAGGACTGAGATATCTCATCATATGGCTAATACCTTAGAGACGTGTGTTGACAAAAACAGAAGCTCACTATCCCAGAAAGCTTATAAAACACCTTATTCCTTAATGTGACCTAATTTTTTCAGCCTGATTTACTATACCAGTTATTAGTCCTATTTCATTTTTCGTATTTTCCCTATTTCATCTTTTTAAGACCTAATTCACTCACGATTGCCATTGTTGCCTGATCTGTTGTATACCTGATTTGTTCCTTATAAGAACAAGCCAAGGGCCAAAACAAAACTATTTCAGCCACAGTTTCAAAGTCACACTTGCAACTTTTTCCCAGGCTTTCAGATTCTTGTGATAGCGCATCGAATTATACCAGAGTCCAGACTCTAAAGGTAGCTCTTTTAGCAAACAGTGATTACAATTTACCATAGAAATTCGCTTTACAGCTCAGTCTCCACTGGGCAAAAGCAAATTTTAAATAATCAACAGGTTTCTAAGATGAAGGATGTGTTCATGCACCCTATTAACAGCAACAGCAGGTAATAAGGGCATTTTAAAAGTAGACCAAGACCTCAAGGGGCCTGGAGATACAAACTCAGGAGGGAAGTTCACGCAATAATCTGTCCATTCAAGTCAAGTTCATCTGCAGACAACCACGAGCATCTCAAGTAGAGGCAATTCTTTGTTTTCCTCCATGGCTGGGGAAGCCTGGGTAAATCATCCTATTCTGGCCCACTGCAACATTAGGAAACCACATTTGCAGAAATGGACTTCCTGTGAGACTAAAGCCTGGTTCTGCCCTCAGACCCAGGGACGCCGGGAAGCCCACCTCCATTTCACCCAGTGCTAAAGTTATGCTCAGAAATAGTATCTTCTTAGCAAACTTGTTGTTGTTGTTGCCACATGATAGAATGATTTATTACAACAAATTTCGTGGCAAATCACATAAAAATAGCCATTTTCTAAAGACATCTGTAAGATGACCTGAGGACGAACATACAGAGGTACCTCCAGGAAGCCAGACAAATAAGTTACCAATTCCAAATTGAAGACAGGGGGGCGAGGAACATGAACTTGTGAATAAACACACTGTAGAGTGATCACCAGAGGGGGACGTGGATGGAGAAGGCATCTTGGACAAAGACAGCCACTGCTTGTTTCCAGTGTCTGGCTCTGGCCAATTGTGCAGGCATGCAGGGTAGGCAGCCGGGTAAGGACTAGCACCTCATCTGTGTGGACACAGTTGGTTTTCAGGGCGGGGGCCAGGTGGGATCTTAGAAACAGCCATGTTTCACAGAGGCGTTAATCTTCTTCCCTGGTGCCCCAGCCCACCAGGGCCACACGACAGCCCCAAGCGAGTACTACAAGCGTTGCTGGCCAAATGGCTGGGTTGGGGAAAGGGGATGGGACAGGGGCTCTGGAACCCATCAAGGCACAGGCGCCACGTGCATGGTATTGGTGAAGCCAGAGCAAGGATACCACCGGGTCAGCATGAGAACCACATCTCCCTTCATGAAGAAGCCTTGGGCCTTGCCAGGATTCACGACCAACTTCACCCAGAGGTCCACATCCTCTGCCCAGGCCTCCTGCACTCAGTCCTTACACGCCACAGGGAAGATGCTGCTGCACAGGTGGGCCTGGAGAGCTGTTTGGTGATTCTGGGCCACAGCAACGATGTATCTGGCCACATGGTAAGCAGACCTGCCAGACTCCATCCAAGTTGTTCTGCATCAGTTCTGTGGACCTGGTGAGGAGGCTGGCATATAGGAAATCCAGAACGGGAGGGAGGGGCTGGGAGGAGGGCCTGGACTAGGGGGAGGGGAGCGAGAGGCCTTGGTGCGAAATTTAAGGAGACGCTCAGGCACGGAGCCTGCATTGCATGCCCTGACAGTAAGTGCCTCCTTAAATTTTGTGCCCTGGCCACTTCCCTCCCTCACCCTAGTCCTAGCCCTGGCGAAGAGGACATAAACAAAGAGGCAACAACACCTGAGTGTGAACCCAGTGACATCCTCAGGCCCTGCTGAGGCTTCTCCAGCAGCCGAAGTCCCTGTGGGAAACTTGGGGATCTGGAAGGCCTGGGCCTCTCTCTGGGAACGGGGCGCATTATCTGACTTGCGTGGTTACCTGTCTAGAGGTAAATTTCTGCATCCTTTGCAATTAAATAAGCTTTAACATCCTTTAACTGTGATTCTTGGCACTTTCCCATCAGTTACATCATTGTCCTCGGTATCACCTACGCAACACTTAACACTAAAATAAGACTCAAAATCAAAGTACAGGAAATTAAGGTCAGCATTATGAACGGCACTGATTGCACTGCAAGTATAAAGGTTAGCAGACAATAGCAGACCTGTGGGAAGACGGCTAGGTAAACGGGGTTATTCTCTACATTCACTTAAAAAGAAATTCTGTTTATTAGCCATTTGACAGTTTCTTAAATAAGTTTTCTTTTTTGCCTCTTATATGCTAAAAAAAAAAAAATCAACATGTTACTAGCTGCAAATAAAAATGAGTAATTCAAATACCAGCAAAGAAACAGTTTTGTTCTTGTACAAAGGGCAGTGGGTCTTCTGCCCAAGAACAACTGACCTGAACGCCCAGGGGCCTCCTAGGGTTCTCATTATCTATCGCTGCATAACAATCTACCCGAAAATTCTGTGGCTGAAAGCAATAAACATGTTACTATACCTTTTGATTTTGTGGGCTGGGAATTCTGCCCCAGGATCATCAGACGGGGTCATGAGAGGGTATTCACCTAACAGCTGGTCTAGTCTGACGGATACAGGACAGTTTCATTCACAAGCCTAGAATGCTGGGCTCAGCTGGCCTCCTCTGTCCTCCATGCAGCGTCAGGGTCCCTCTGTGTAGTCTCCCCAGCAGGGTGGTCAGACTTCTTACACGTGTCCCAGGGCCGCAAAGGCAAGTGTTCCGGGAGACAGGAAGGAAAAGGGGCCAGTCTCTTAAGACCAGGCCTGGAAACTGGCCCAGCACCACTTCTAAGCTTCTGCTCTATTCTGTCAGTGCAGCCGTACAGCCTGAAGAGTTTCAAGGTTAGGGCGACAGACTCCACCTCTTGATGGGAGGCGTGTCAAAGAGCTTTTGGCCAACTTGATTCTGCTGCTCCTAAGCGTCTTCCATCAAAGGAGTTGTAACTCATCAGAGCAGTGCCAGACATGGCCAGCGCCCATGGAGTACATTTTGTGTTGTCTTTTTGGATTGTGTCCACGATTACTCCTCAACATCCTTAAAGTAGAGAGGGAGGGCTAGACCATTCCTCAGGGAATCAGAGGAGTTACACACCTGGGCTACCTGAGTGGAGTCAATAAAACTCCTGGAACTCAGCTGAGCCCTGGGCTGTGTTCCCGTGCGTCACAAAGTCTGTATACTGATGTCCTCCGAGCTTGAATCTCCAGTCTAGACTTCTTTTGTGAACACCAGGCTCATGTTTCTCGCTGCCTAGTTGACATTTTCACTTGGATGGAAATAGCTATTTCACATTTAATACTATCAAAACAAAATTCTTTTAATCCTCTCAAAGCCTATTTTTCCCATAGTCCTTCCTAGGCACCTGGCTGCTCCATCAAAGACCTAGGAGTCAGCCTTAGTTTGATCCTTTTCCTTCGCCTCCCATGCCCCATCACCCTCTCACCCCCGCCCTCCCTCACCCACCACATCTAATCTATCAGCAAATTCCCTGGTCATTGCCTCCCAAATGTGTCTACATCCAGCTATTTAGGATTAGGATATCCATCTGCACTTCCATCTCTTGACTGGTTTGCAACAAAACCTCCCAAAGCTTACTCTGTTTCCACTCTTATAGGGATAAGTGGCCCTTAAGTGGCCAGAGAGACCTTAAAACAGAATCAGATCATGACACCTCCCTTTTGAAAACCACCCACAGCCCCCATTGCACTTAGAGCACCATCCACACTCCTGATCACAGCCCCAGGCCCTCCATGAGCTAGCCCCAACTGCCTTTCTGGCGTCATTTTGTTGGATGCTGCCCCTTGCTCACTATGGTCCAACCTTCCTGGCCTCCCCTTTCTCCCCCTCTGCCTGGAACACTCCTGTGTAGCTGCTTCAGCCTCACTCTTCAGGCGCTGGTGTAAACGACACTGCATCAGTCTTGTGACCACCTACCCCACCCTCGTAGCTCTTAGCAAAATCTGTAATAAGCTCATTATTATTTGATTGTCATAGTCTGTATTTCCTTCTAGAAGATAAATTCCATGAATTCAGTTGGTATTACTGCACAGCATATTTGGATCACGCTCTGGGGGACTGGTATAAATTTAAGCAATGCAAAGGTGCTGAAAGACCCTGCTGTCTTGTTTGTCACCAGTGTCTGACATAGTGCCTAGTACCTAGTAGGTGTTCAATTAATATTTTTCAGTGAATGAATGAACTAATGATTCTTGGCTCATCTATTCTGCTCTCAATAGGTATATGTGTTTACGGGCTGGCCTGGTGGCGCAGAGGCTAAGTTCGCACGTTCCGCTTCTCAGCGGCCCGGGGTTCGCTGGTTCGGATACTGGGTGCGGACATGGCACCACTTGGCACGCCATGCTGTGGTAGGCGTCCCACATATAAAGTAGAGGAAGATGGGCACGGATGTTAGCTCAGGGCCAGGCTTCCTCAGCAAAAAAGAGGAGGACTGGCAGATGTTAGCTCAGGGCTAATCTTCCTCAGAAAAAAAAAAATTAGATATATGTGTTTATACGTAAAAACTGAAAGCACATTGTTAAAAGCCTGATAGATAACATCTTTTTCCTAGTTAATTTTTAAAAATCAGTTTGGTTTTGTAATCATTTCAAATACAATTTATATTTGTTGTGCAAAATTTTTTAAGTACAGACATGAAAAAATAAGAAAAAATGTCACTCATAATTTCACCTTTCAGATGGGTGACATCCATCTGAAATGATATGAAATGAAATGCTACATTTCATTTACTATTTTGTTTATAATAACAAAATCATTTACTATTTTTTTCCTTGTATCATTTACTATTTTGTTTCCTTGTAGTTTTTGAAATTTTTCTCTACCTTGTAGACATTTCTCAGTATGAAATTTCAGCTGATATTATATTATATTTCCTGGAATCAGGAAAAAAAGAACAATATTCTAACAACTGGCAATAATTTGAGGAAACCTGGAGGACCATTTTGATGCTTTCAGATGATCTTTACTAGCCCATTGGAATAAATAATCACCCTTAAAAGATTTGTAATCAGTTAATCAACAAGACACTACTCCTAGAATCTGGAATTCTGTTTGCACGTATCACAAAAGCTTAGTAACTAGGTCACAAGCCAGAATCACTAGAGTTAAAAATTAGCAGACATTCATTGTGTTCAACCAACGAAAGCTTACTGAGCATCTGCAGTGTCGGCAATGTTCTAGACCCTAGCAACACAGCAGTGACCAAAATTCTACCACCCGAGAGCTTGGTCTAGCTGTATGACAATAGAGAGATGGTAGATAGATAGCAGGAAGGTAGGAAAGTAGATGATAGATTGATAGATAGATAGATGATATATGTAGTGTATTCAATGATGACAAGTGCTTTGGAGAAAAATAGGGCAGGGAAGAATGATGGAGGGGTTGCAATTTTAATTTGTAATTGGGGTTATCAGGAAAGGCCTCACTGAGACCTGAAGGAGGTTAGGGAGCCAGCATAGAGATACCCGGGGGAAGAGTGTTCCAGACAGAGGAAACACTCATTGCAAAGGTTCAGTAGCGGGAGAAAGTCTGATTTGTTCTAGAAAGAGTACAAAGTCAGTGTGGCTAGAGAAGGGAGAAAGAAATAGAAGACCTCGTCACAGAAGTGCCAGCTTATTCAGGGCCTTAGAGGACATTGTAAGGATTATGGCTTTTACAGTCAGTGAAACAGAAAGCTATTGAAGGACTTGGGATTTAAGAATGCTATCACCTTGCTTAATATTTAAAATATTTAAAAGGATTTCTCTGGCTGTTGAGCTAGGAATAGACTGAGGATGAAGGGCAGAAAGAGGAAGAAGAGGCAGGGGGATACAGCAATATTCCAAGAGAGAGAAGAGGTGACTTGGACAAAGGGAGCAGTGCAGGTGGCAGGAAAGACCAGATTCGGGATGTGTTTTGACAGAAGAGCTAACAGTCCTTGTGCAGGACTTAGGAGGGGATCTTGACCATCCCAAAGTCTGAGGCCTGAGCAACCGGAAGGATAGAGTTGCCGTTTACACAGAAGTTTGGAAAGACCACGGGAGCAGTGGGTTTCAGGGGGAATATCAGGACCAAGCAAAAAAAAAAAATTGTTTAAACAAACAAACAAAAGTTTAAGGCTCAAAAATGTATCTGAGTGGCCGGCCCAGTGATCTAGTGGTTACGTTCACGCACTCCACTTCAGAAGCCCGGGGGTTCACAGGTTCAGATCCTGGGCACAGACCTACACATCGCTCATCGAGCCATGCTGTGGCAGCATCCCACGTACAAAATAGAGGAAGATTGTCACATTAGCTAAGAGACAATCTTCCTCACCAAAAAAATAAAAGTATAGGAAATAACTGTTTAGCTGTGTTAAAAAAGAGAAAGCAGGAACCAGTGAATAATAAATGAAGCTAAGTGGGAGGCTTAAGTGCTAATACAATTAATAAATAGGATCGGTAGGGTCTGTTCTGATACTGGATGTATTTCCTTTAAACAAGTCTCTAAGCAGCAATCAGAGGGATCCCACACCCCATGCCCCACTGTAGAAGAGTTTCTGAGAAAGGATCAATTCACCCTCAATAAAATACAATTCAACAGGCTTTAAAGCATGTTCAGTAACAAGAAAGTAATCACCGATTTTTCTCTTGAGGAAGTTATTTTCCATCTTCATCAAATATTTCTCCAGATGTCCATAAAAATGAAAGGCAAGAGGACCCAGAATTCTGCAGCAAGTAGTGTCCAGTTGTCCACTGACGGTGGGTGAGAGAAAAGGCCGACGTGAGACCCCCAAAAGGGGCTCCACAGAAGCCGTACGGTGGTGACATTTTGTTAATTCCTTGTCTAATACACAATTATTGGGCAGTCCCCCCTCACTTTTTTGAGAAAACAGCAAATAAACAACTTGTTTACCAGGCACTTGGACATGCTTTCTATCTTCCTAAATGCACGGACGATTTTTACAAATCATAACTGACCCTCAGCACGATATTACTACGCTTCCAACTAACAACCCGCATCTCCACTTGCTTTGTTCGGGAAGGACCTCTCTGACGAATCCCAAACCCCTCTAACGATCTCGCCTCCCAAGTTTCTTCTCACAGAATTTCTGTAAAAAGGAAACACAGAATTACTGAGTCAGGCAAAAATCAACGCGGCCGTTCGTCGCCAAGCGGGCACCTTCTACCAGGCTCCGGCTGGGACGGCAGGGAGCCCGCCGGAGCAGCAGTCCCCAGCCCGAGGTGCGCACTTGAGTCTTGGCAGAACCTTAGATGTGTGTTGGCATCTTGGGAGAGCTTTGTAAACAAATACCCATGCCCCAGGCCCAACACCGGAGATTTTGATTTAATTGCTCTGGGAAAGGGTAAAGAATTTTTTAAAGCTCCCTACATATTGTAACATGTACCAAGGACTGAAACCGCCACACTAGAATTGCAAGGAATTTCAACACCAACAGAAAGAGTGTTTTCTAAATAATAATAGTACTCGGCAATCCAATAGACACACTGGGCCACATTCTCATGGGATAGGAAAATGGTGGGGGGGGGGGGGCGTGGAATTGGAAAACGCAGACAATGAGCATATTTAGGTTTAGAAAGATAACCTTTCTATGGCACTGGCAGACCTATCCTTCCCACACATCCCCCCGCAATCCTTTCAGACCAATTTTCTGTTAAATCCCATATAAGTAGTCTGTGCTCCCTGCCAAATTCTGGAAGATGCACAAGGAATCCATCACGACGCAGCAAGTTGCCCAGAACCGCTCCGAGTCTGGGCAGCCAGCTCCTTCCACACGTCGCTGGTAACCCAGAGAACTGGGGAGGAGAGGGGGCTGTTCCTCCAGAAAACAGCAGAAGTTCTCTGGGCAGCATGAGGTATGCCATGGGATGTAATTCAGCAATTCTGTCTTAGAAAACAAAGGTGAGCGGAGCTTCAACAGCGTATGGAAAAGGGAACAATATTGTGCAGCAACAATAACCACAATTTCTCCGTAGCCCCAGCTCACCCACAGGACACTTTTTAGCCATATTACACAACTGCTTGCTTTTAGATTTTTTTTTTTTAATTTTTTCTTTTTCTCCCCAAAGCCCCTGGGTACATAGTTGTGTATTTTAGTTGTGGGTCCCTCTAGTTGTGGCATGTGGGATGCCGCCTCAGCATGGCTTGATGAGCAGTGCCGTGTCCGCACCCAGGATCTGAACCAGTGCCTTCTTCAATGGGAAAATGCCAACCGCCTGGTGCATTTTGGAAAATAGCAACAGCACCCATGAGGAGAGGAGCCGTCAGAACACAGGTCACAGGAGACAGTGGCTGGTGGTGTCACAAGACAAGGAATCACACCCTATTTTTAGCCTTCCTATCTGACTCTGAAGCCAAAAACCGAAGGCCACTTCATCAGAGACTCACACCAAACTGGTGCCCGTTTCTGC